CTACAACATTTAAACAACAACAACAATAGAGCTGGAATCTACTTGACAGCTAGAAAGATGTGGCAGTCTTAGAAACTCGATGGGGCCGTTTGATTGTAATTATTGTAATTTATTGTAATTATTGTAATTACAGGTCAGTATACATTGAACGGACTTGATAGCACTTAATAATAACAATATAGAGTCTTGGTGTGACACTGTGGGATAAGCACTGGACCGAAAGGTGGATTTGAACTGCAAGGTCAGCCAGCGCTCCTTAGAAACCCTATATGTAGTGCGCTGTGAGTCAGAACTGAACAACAACATAGGGCTGCTATGAGTCAGAGTCGATTTGACAGCGGAAGAAAGATGTGGCAGTCTTAGAAACCGTGTGGGGCAGTTTTACTGTGGTGTGATGCTGTAGGATAAGTACTAGACCATAAGGTCAGTTTGAACAGTAAAGTCTCTGGCTCGAGTTCACTAGCCACTCCTAGGAAACCCTATCCAGGTTTGCTATGAGTTGGACTGACTTGAAAAACCAACAAACACAGGGCTGCTGTGAGTGGGAACCGACTTGGCAGCAAACCACCGACCACCTGAGTAGAGGAATAAGCAAGAAGTACGGGCACAAGAAGGGAAAAATTCAAAGGCGCTGGAATAAGCACTCCCTGCTCCATCGTGGGGCGGCGGGGAGGAATGTGTGGACAGTAAAGTCAGTACAGGATGTAGTGGGGAAACGTAGGCCCCTAAGGAAATGGGCTTGTCCAGTCACTAAAATGGAGAGAAGGCTGTGCTCAGAATCCTGGGAAGCATCATGCCCACACTTTTCCAGTCCATCAGCTAGATGCAGAATCGGGTCACTACAGTCCGCTGCTCACAGCCTGGACCCCAGTTTCCACGTTCCTAAGATTATATACAATCTGGTGCCTGCCCACCGCAACTTCTCTGAAGGTACCTTTGCTTTTCACGCTTTTCTGGGACCCCATCACCATCACCATCATGTGCTTGTCTGTGAGATACTCCTCTGCCTGATGGGCCCCACCTCTCTCCAAACGGGGTCCTCTTCTGTAGTGACTTGTACAGCCTGACAGCTTCCTCCCACCTGTGACTTTGGTGAGCCTTGGCCTCAGCAAAGTCCACTGCTTAAACTCCTCCAGGCCTCCAACCTGGACCCTCATGGAGTAGCCAGACTTCGCCCAGCCCAATGCCTGCCCTCCACCCGTCTTGAGTCTTCCCTGTGGGTTCCCACTCCACACTACGACCTTCTTTCTGTCAGTTTTGGCACACCCCCCACCCCAGACCCTTTCACCAGCAGTATCCTTGCCCGGGGCCTCTTCCTGTCACACTGCCTAATTTCTCTTCCAGCTCGCTGCCTTAGGCCATCAGCAGTGAGGGCTCTTTTTGGAGTTTTGTGAGCTTCTTTAGTGATCTCAGCCTTTCTTCCCACATCTCGTGAAATTTTAAGTTTCAGGAGGGCTGGGATGGGGTCATTTTACTTTCCCTAGTCAGTGTATGGAGTCCTGGTGTGGCACTGTGGGTTAATGCGCTGGACTGCATGGTCGACATGAACTGCAAGGTCAGCGGTTCAAGTTCACCAGCCACTTCTCAGAAACCGTATACCGGGTTGCTATGGGTCAGAACCGACTCAAGAGTACTTAACAACAACCACTGTATTGGAGTCTTGGTGTGGCTCTGTAGAGAAGCACAGGACTGCAAGGTCAGCTTGAACCACAAATTCGGTGGTTCAAACTCTCCAGTCACTCTTTGGAAACTCTATGCTGGGTCACTATGAGTCGAAATTACCTCAATGATCTTAACAACAACAACCACTGTATTGTTGTGGTTGTTGTTAAGATCATTGAGTCAATTGCCTGGTGTGCTATTGTAGGATAAGCACTTGACCACAAGGTTGGTTTGAACTGCAAGGTTGGCCATTCAAACTCCCCATCGGCTCCTTGGAAACCCTAGAGTGGGTCACTGTAAGTCATGACCAACTTGAGGGCACTTAACAACAACATCCACTACATTAGAGTCCTGGTGTGGTGCTGTATGATAAGCACTGGACTGCTAACCTGAAGGCTGGTGGTTCAAACCCACCAGCCACTACTTGGAAACCCTATACAGGGTCGCTACAAGTCAGAAACAATTTGATGGCACTTAACAACAACCACATTGTCTTAGGCAGCACTTTAATAGAACAACTATTAAACAGCAAGGACCTAGTAAGGAACTGTTGAATGAAAGGATAGGGGAGGAAAAAAAATTGTAATGGGAGATAACAATGTCCAAACCAGAGAGTTGTTGGTACAATAAAATGAGCTATCACGTGGGAAGTGTGTGGCACACAGAAGGTATTTCAACTCAACAAATGCAGTTGCTTCTTCACTCTAAACCCACCCTCATCACACACACACATACTTGCTTCTTTCCAAGGGAATGACTAGAGAAAATTTCTACTATCATTACTGATATTGTTGTTGGGTTGAGTTGGTTTCTAATCATAATGACCCCATGTGATGGTGTAGATTTTCTGAGCTAATTTCTTTGTGGTTGCAGAGGGCCAGGTCTTTCTGGATGCTGCTGGGGTCAAACAACCAATCTTTCGTTCCACAGCTGAAGGCTTAACTGCGATACCACCAGAGCTCTTAATTCTAATATTAAAGCTTTTATTGAGTGCCAGTAATTGTTCCAGACACTGCATATGTCTGGAATCCCTTGGTGTGGATTCTGATACATATGAGAAGTCAGTATTATAAACAATGCTGTTCTACCACAGAATGCTGGTCCTTGGAGAATGGCCATCAGGGTTCCATCCATTCCTTAGTACATCTGAGTCTGCAATGAGCAGTGGATGCTGGCATCATTGCTCCCATTTTACAGATGAAGAGCTGAGGCCCAGAGGAGTGGACTGGTCTCAAATCCTGAAGTTGATGGGTGTCAGATACTGGACCACAGGGTGTTGACCCCAGTCTGGGGCTGTCACCTGCTCCCTGGGAAGCACAGGGAAAAAGAAATCCCAGGATTATTGTTGTTTGGCTAATTGAAGGCCCAGAGTTTGCTCTAGCCATGGGGGAAACAGCTACCCTCAGTCACAGCAGTGACAATGACTAGCCGCTTGCTGACTGCACCAGTGGGCTTGCACCTCTCAAGTAAGGACCAGCTTTCTGTCAGATGGGACTGGGGCATGCTGACCCAGGGGAGAGAGATTCACTAAGCTGACCCACATCTTGGCTCAGACACTGAGGACAGCTGCCCACTCAGAGCAGGTGGAGCTGAGCAGGAAGGCAAGGGTCCTGGGGCTCCCTGTCCAGGCCCAGGCCCAGGCCCAAAGCTGGGCATCCCCCAATTCTGCTTAACATTCACACTGTGAGGGGCTGGCTTCCCAGTGCTCCAGGGATCCCAACCCCTGGGAAGCATCATGTGTGGAATGATTTAGAACATATGACGGCTTGTGTCCTTAGAAGCTGATTTCATTGGGTCTTTCACCAAAGAGACCTCTCAGGAGGCCAGGCCAGGGGTTCTGATGGACTTTTTACATTATAGGGAGGGAAGAGAGTTGGCATGGGCTTACTCCCACTCTGGGCCAGGAACTAAGCTTGTCAACACCCTCCGCTGTGCCGGAACACATGCGTCCTGTGGCCCGAGGTCACTCTTCACCCCCACTCCTTCCCCTCCATCCTGTGCTCTTGGCTGGCGGAGATCTCTGGCTGGTGGTCCTGGTTGAGGCTGCATGCAGACTTGTGGGCCTGGCATAGATCCACCATTGTCCCAGGAGACCTCATGCTGCATTGAACACAGATGCCACGGATCCCTGGTTCACTCCTCCCTGGACCTGGGTCCGATGAGGCACAATCCCGTGCATGGCAGATTTATTTCCAGGGCATGTGAAGGCACTCATTTCTCCAGGTCCCAAAGCCTCAGCCAGCAGTGGGACCCGAGTTCTTCACTCTGACTCCCAAATGTAGCTGCCGGGACATGACAGGGGAAGGAGGTGCCCTGTACCCACAGCTCAGCCTTGCCCACTGCCCCTACCTCACCCCACTCACAGCATCCTCTTAAACATAAAGACCCATTCCTGTCAGACCGTCAGATCCAACTTTGACTCGTGGTGACCCGTGGATGACTGAATCGAACAGCACCCCACAGGTTTTCAATGGCTGATTTTTCAGACATGAGTCCCCAAGTCTCTTCTGAGACACCATGGGTGAACTTGAATCGCCAATATCTCATTTAACAAATGAGCATATTAACTCTGTGAACCACCTACTCAGCATCAGTTTAGAACACACACGTCTCTCCATCAAGCCAGGACTTGGGAGGGAGCATAACATTTCACCTGGGATCCTACTTGATTCATGCTGTTCAGTAGCCATCAGTTTAACCGAGCTCCTCTCTGCACATGTTGTTGGATGTTTTTTAAATACCAGGTTGTAGAATCTCACCCTTTGTTCTTTCTTCTTTTCTATGCAGATGACAGACCATGCTTAGTGTCTTCCTCTCAATGCTGGCAGCAGCATGGAAACAGCCAAGCTCTAGTTGAGGACAAACAAGAACTGTATCTTCTGGAGGAGGTGGGAATGAAAGCTTCCCTTTGTCCTGCACCAAACACATGTCCTTCGAGGTCTCCACTCCCAAGGGACCCTGAATCTTCATGAAGATTAATGGCCACTCAGTCACTTTTGATGGGAAAGGAAGTCAACGGTGTTGCATTTGATTAGAGAGTCATCAGGGAATTTATCAGCTCTGTGGGGATTGCAGAAAACACAGGCTACTTATTTCCTGGGAGGACAAATTATATGCTAGAGGAACCAACACACCATGAATGACCCGCTGAGCTTTTGTGACATCCACGACCAGATCCGGCTCCCAGGGGCAGCTGTCATCCATGGAAAGTGAAGAATCCTGTGGAATCCCGCTTCCTGCTCTGATTGGTCTTCAGACTCTGAGAACTTCCCTCCAGTCTCCTCTTCCATTAGAAAGAATTTGCTCCCACTAGGCAGTACCCTACAGGAAAACCAAAGATGGTGACCATGAGGAAGATGAAGCTGCTCACCTTCCTCATTCTTCTCATCTTCCTCACCTTCTTCTTCCTGAGCTATACCCACACCGTAATAACCACCACCTGGTTCCCCAAGCAGATGGTCATCGGGTTCTCAGAGAACTTACGGAAGCTCATGAAGCTCCCTCAGAGGCCTTGTACATGCAGCCACTGTGTTGGGGAGCTCAAGCTCTCCAGGTGGTTTGATGAGAGGTTCAACCACACCATGCAACCGCTGCTGACACTACACAACTCCATCCTGGAGGAGGAGACTTACAGCTGGTGGCTGGTGAGAGCTGCACGGGGTCTGGGGGGCTTCTGATAGCCAAATACACAGATCCTGGCATGTGTCTGAGAAGTCACCAGGCACCTGTCATCATTTAGAATACAAGGCACTCATTTCCTCAACATATATTTAGGGAGGACATGTGAGAGGGACTCAAAAAGTTAGTGGAAAAACAAACCCACTGTCTTTTCTTTCCGATTTTCCAGGAGCTTTTTGAAGCCCCCTCATATATATGAGTTGGAGCTGAGGGTACTCTATTAATTTCTCTTGACTGTTGTAACAAATCACCACAAACTTGGTGGCTTACAATGGACATAAATTCTCTCACAGTTTCAGAGACAAGATGTCTGAAGTCAGGTGTCCTCAGGGTGCCTTCCGTGTAGAAATTCTGAGAAAACGTATGTTCCTGGTCTCTCTCCTAACTTCGGGTGGCACCAGGGTTCCTTGACATCCTTTAATTTGTAGACACATCACTCCATGCTCTGCCTCTGTCTGTACATCCCCTGCTTTCTGTGTGTCTTCTCTGTGTTTCAGATCTCCCTCCCTCTCATAAGAGCACTTGTCACTGATCTCTAGCCCACCACACCTCCAGGAGAATCTCACCTTGAGATCTCACGCTTTCTCATATCTGCAAAGACCCTTTTTCAAAATCAGGTCATGTTTGTAAGTTTTGGGTGTGAGGATGTAGACGTATCTCTCTGAGGGCCACAAACATCGGAGGAACAGTGTTGCATTCATCATCAAACAGCATATTTCAAGATCTGTCTTGAGGTACAATGTTGTCTGTGATAGGATAATATCCATATGCCTACAAGTAAGACCAGTTAACATAACTATTCTTCAAATTTACGTACCAACCACTATACCAGCAATGGAGACACTGAAGAGTTCTACCAACTTACTCAAGGAGCTCTGGTAGTGTAGTGGTTATGAGTTGGGCTGCTAACCTCAAAGTCAGCAGTTCAAAACTACCAGCTGTTCCATGGGAGAAAGATGAAGCTTTCTACTCCAATAAAGATTTACAGCCTTTGGAAACCCTGTACAGGGTCATTATGGGTCAGAGCCGACTCCACGGCACACAGCCACCACTTCTTCAGTCTGAAATTGATCAATCATGTAATCAAGACACATTGATATCTACTAGTGATTGGAATGTGCAGGTTGGAAGCAAAGAAGGATCAGTAGTTGAAAAATATGGCCTTGGTGATAAAAATGATTCTTGAGTTCAAATGATAGAATTTTGTGAGATCAATGACTTCTTCATTGCAAATACCTTTTTGGAACAACGTGAACCTCACCAGATGGAGTTCACAGGAATAAAGTACACAGATTGACTACGTCTGTAGGAAGAAAAGGAGGAAAAGGTCACTGTCATCAGTCAAAGCCAGGCCAGGGCAGGCTATGGAACACACTGCCAGGTACTCATATCCCAGTTCAGGCTGAAGCTGAAGAAAATGAGAACAAGTCCACAAGAGCCAAAATATGACCTTGAATATATCCCACCTGAATTTAGAGATCATCTCAAGAACAGATTCGAAGCATGAATTAGGCAGTAATGACTGAAGACTTATGAGATAGCATAAAGAACATACAGGAATAAAACAAAAGGTCATTTAAAAATACAGACAAAAATGGATGCCAGAAGAGACTCTGAAACTTGTTCTTAAATATTAAGAAACTTATGCAAATGGAAGAAATGAGGAGGTAAAAGAGCTGAATAGAACATTTCAAATGGCAGTTTAAGAAGACAAACTCAAGTATTATAATGAAATGTGCAAAGACATGGAGTTAGAAAACCTAAAAGAAGGTGGAAGTAATACACAGAGTCACTGTACCAAAAAGCAATGTTTAAAGATTTTAAGAAATAGCATATGTACAAGAATCAATGATACTGAAGGAAGAAGTTCAAGCTGCCCTGAAAGCATTGGAGAAAAATAAAGCTACAGGAATTGAACGAACACAAATTGAAATCTGGCACTGGAGACGCTCACTCATATATGCAGAGAAATTTGGAAGACAGCTACCTGGCCAATTGATTGGAAGAGATCCATGTTTGTGCCCATTCCAAAGAGAGATGACCCAACAGACAGTGCAAACCATAGAAAAATATCATTAATATCACATGTAAGTAAAATTTTTCTGACGATTATTCAAAAACAGTTGTAACAGTACATAGAACTGCAAGAACTTCAAGCCAGATTCAGGATAGGATATGGAACTGCTGAAAGCCAAAATGCCAGAAAGATGTTTATTTTGAGCTGTATTGACTATGCAAAGACTTTTGAACGTGTAAATCATGACAAACTATAGATAACATTGCGGAGAATGGGTGTTCCAGAACACTTCATGGAGGAACCTGTACATAGACCAACAGGCAGTTGTTAGAACAAGGGACACTGAATGGTTGGAAATCAGGAAAGGTGTGTGCCAGGGTTGTAACCTTTTACCGTAATTATTCAGTCTGTATGCTGAGTAAATAATCTGAGAAGGTAGATTATGTGAAGAAGAACATGGCATCAGGAGTGAAGGAAGACTCATTAACAACAGGCAATTTGCAGATGATACTTACAACTTTGTTTACTGGAAGTGAAGAGCAATTAAAATACTGATGAAGATTAAAGATTACAACCTTCAATAAACAAAAATCCTCACAACTGGACCAGTAGCTACCATCATGATAAATAAACAAATGATTGAAGTTGTCAAAGACTTCATTTTTCTTGAATCCACTATTTAACAGTCATGGAAGAAGCAGCCAAGAAATCAAATGACATGTTGCATTGGGCAAATCTGCTGCAAAAGACCTCTTTTAAGTGTTTGAGGACAAACATATCAACTTGAAGACTTAGATGTGCCTAACCCAAACCATGATATTTTCAATAGTCTCTTTATGCATGTGAAAGTTGAACAATGAGTAAGGAAGACTGTAGAAGAATCGATGCATTTGAATTATGGTTTTGGAGAGGAATTTGAAAAGGACCATGGACTTCCTGAAGAACAAACAAATCTGTGCTGGAAGAAGTACAACCAGAATGTTCCTTAGAAGCCAGGATGGCGAAACTCCATCTCTCATACTTCAGACATGTTATCAGGAGGGACCAGTCCCTGGAGAAGGACATCATGCTTAGTAGAGTGGAAGGTCAGTGAACAAGAGGAGGGACTCCCAGTGAGCTGGATTGGCCAAGTGCAGCAACAGAGAGCTAAAATGTAACAACAGTTTTGAGGATGGTGCAGGACAATGCAGTGTTTCATTCTGTTACACGTAAAGTCGCTATGAGTCAAAACCAACTAAAAGGCACCTTACAACAACAACAACAATTTAACCCCATATGGAGCTCTAATAGTACAGTGGGTTGGCTAAGTGTAGGGTTGCTAACCGAAAGATTGATGGTTTGAATCTACTATTCTATGGGAGAGAGATCTTATCAGTCTTCTAGAAACATGGGTCCCAGAGCATGGTCCTGCCAACAGAAGTGTTGCTGGGAACTTGTGGGGTAAGCTTACCTGGTTTCTGCCATGACTATACCCCAAGGTGATCTGTTTGCTGATCAGAATTGGGTGCAGGGCGGATGTTGTTGTCTGCAGTCTCCCCTGCGGCCATGTGTCTGGTGTTCTCATGCTACGTTTTTTTGTTTGGGAGGGTTTTTGTTTTCACTGTGGTTTGACTAGGGGATCTGTCTAGTCAAGTGTGCCACCCTTTTGGGAGCAACATTTTCATTCTAATGTTAATTCATTGCTTCAATCGAAATACCACAAGATGTTGGCTTTAGAGAATATAAAATTATTTTCTCGTAGTTTTAGAAACTAAAAATCCAAATCAGGGTCATGTCTGTCTGAATTCCTCCCTTGTCAATAACTCCGGACATTGCTTGGTTTCTTGGCTTGTAGACAATCCTCACCTGGTTCCTGTCTCACCTGTCTCACATGTGTGTGTATGTGTGTGTGTATGTTAGTTCACTGGACTGCAAAGTCTCTTTGAACCACAAGGTCGGAGGTTCAAGCGCAGTGCTTTTAATACTCAGAAGTGATTCATTTTATGACTCAACCTAATTAATTAGCATAACAAAAGAAGCTCTATCTCCAAAAATCTAAACCAAGCCCAATGCTACTGAGCCAGTCCCCACTCATCACGACCCTACAGGATGCAGCAGAACTGCTCCGTTTTTCTCCCATGGGAAATCTGGTGGGTTCAAACTGCCAATCTGGCAGTTAGCAGCCCAGTGCTTAACCACTGCGCCACCTTTTGGGAACATAATCTTCCCTATAATAGTTGCTGGAATCACCCCATGGTCCACCACCCCTCATCCCAGGATGGGGCTTGTAGTAGGGCCAGATTAAAGGGTTGGAGGCTGTGGCAGTGTTGTGAGGGAGCTATGCAGTGAGTTTTTCAAAGGCTAAGTCCTGGTTTCGACTAGTGACGTTTGCTCGTCCTCAGCAGGTCCTAAGCTTCTTTCCCCTCTAGTTGAAACAATGCAGTGCCATGGCATTTTAAAAGGTCACGTGCTGCGTCTGAGGACATCTCTCCTGGGTCTTACTATAAGTGAAGGAGGCAGGTGAGATACACAATATGTCTCCATCACCCCTGAGGTCATGGGCAGACACACGAAGTGCCAAAAGGAATGAGTGGAGGTACCAATGTTCCGGTTTACCAGACACATTCCAGCTTAAGCACTGAAAGTTCCATGTCCTGAAATCACCCCTCTGGGCAGACCAGGACAGCTTGTCTTAGCATCCTTCTTGGTGGTGGTATTGTTGTTAAGTGCCGTCGAGTTGGTTCCAACCCATAGCAACCCTGTATAGGGTTTCCAAGAAGCAGCTGGTGAGCTTGAACCTCCGACCTTGTGGTTCAAAGTGACTTTGCAGTCCAGCGCACTAACCCACAGCACCACACCAGGGCTCCTAGCACCCTTTGTTGTTGTTGAGTGCTATGGAGTCGGTTCCGACCCATAGTGACCCTGCACAGGGTTTCCAAGGCTGTAAATCTTTATGGAAACAGAAAGCCTCATCTTTCTCCTGTGGAACAGCTGGTAGTTTTGAACTGCTGACCTTGCGGTTGGCAGCCCGATTCATAACCACTATGCTATCAGAGCTCCTCCTAGCACCCTAGACTACCTTATAAATCGCCACAGCTGTGTGGCCTTAAAGAACAGACATCTATGGTCTCAGACTTTGGGGACTTGGAGTCTGACTTCAGGGCTATGCTTTCTGCCTGGGGGAACAGCCTGTCTCCTCTCTTCCAACTCTGGCAGCTCTGAGTACTCCTGGTGGCCCCAGACGTGACTTGGTTTGTAAAAGCAGTTTCACATGGCATCTTTCATAGGTGTCTTAATGTGTCTGTTTCCCTCTTTCATGAGGCACCATTCAGATGATGGGATGAGAACCCACCCTACCTACCACATCTTCAAAGAAAGACCCTATTTCCAAAGAGATCACACATTCATAGGCTAGGGCTTCAATTTACCTGTTAGGGTGAACATAATTCAATCCTTAACATTCACTTGGGATAAACCAGCGTCTAACAAGGTTGCTATGAGTTGGCATTTAACTTAGCAGCATTTAACAACAACAACCCTGCCTGGGGGCTAGGGGGTGGATTCTAAGGCAGCTGGTCTTCCAGCTAGGTCTTAGAAGCAGACAAAATTTGCTAGATAAACACTGGAAGCATAGAAACAGGACATGCAAAGACATGGAGAAGGGAAGGAAGTTTGCATCTGCAAGTGCTGACCCTCTTTGGTTTGACTGAAACCCAATAGACCTGGAAATGGGGCAAAGGAGGGATGGAGAGGTGGGCAAGGAGGATCTTCACTGCCCTCAGCCAGCTTGGCCCAGGCTCCAATGGGAGCTTGGAGTCCCCAGGACGTGGTGTCTGGAGTAGGTGGTGAGCAAGGTGAGATGGGAGGCTGTTGAGGCTGACTCCCAGGATGGAGGGTCCATTCAGAGAGAGGCACCCTAAAGGACAAACTGATTGAGGAGAGGTGAATTCCACTTGGTGCTTGTGAGTTTGAAGCCAATGAGGCCAGGTGTAGAATGAATCAGGCCAGTCAAACCCACCAAAGGAGAAATGAGCTGGACCACTTTACTCATCTCAGCCAGTCTTGTCTCAGGTGGCTGGAGCAATGCCTTGCATGGACTGCAGACCCACCTTCTGGCTAGCTGACTGATTGTCTAGATGGGCAGGTGGGTGGGAGGGTGGATGAGTGGATGGGTGACTGGGTGGGTTAATGGATGGATAGATGGATGGATGGATGGATGG